CAGGCCACTCCAAGGTCCACAGCCATGACCAAGGTCTGTATGCCTCCTATCTGGTGCAGGAGTGGGTGAGACTCCTCCTGGGAGTATATATGGGTCATTGTCATTCTTTACATGTTTATGGAGAGAGGAGTCCTAGCTTTTATGAAATACCTAAAGAGATCTGCAACCCTCAAAAAGTTAAAAGCCACTTGCTGTTGTTTTTATCTTCCTATTTTATCAGAAATGGTTGCTTAACTTTATCAGCTATTGCTTAGAATTCATTCTTCATTCAACATTTATGAATTTTCTACTTTATGTCCAACAGCAATCAAGGAATTTAACAACATAATCATGTTTCCCCCCTTTTTCTTATAAATATAATGGAAAATATTAATGTTTCATAAAATTGATATTATTGCTATTCCTAGACTAAATCCTACATGGCCATTGTAAATTATTATTTTATTATGTAGTTAAAAACCATTTGCTAACATATTGAGGGTTTTTGAATCTTTATTAACCAGTGAGTTAGTATGTAAATTTTTGGTGGCATCTGACTTTTGGGTCAGATTCAGACCAAGATTTTAAATAAATAAAATGAACTTGGATACTTTCAATTTTTTAATGCTAAAGAACAGTGTAAATAGTATGGAAGTGACTAGTACTATGAACATTTGATGAGTTTTATTGGCAGAGACTTTGGGTCCAGCTTCTTTCTGAGGAATAACTCTGACAACTTTCCCAATTTCTTCTATGGTCTGTTCAGATTTTATGATACTCAGAGCCAGTTTTGCTAATTTACTTCTTGGAAACAATCACTATTTAAAGAAGTTACTACAAATATCAAATCATTCACCTATAATTTTAAAAAATCTTAAAGCCACATATACTTATTATTTTTCAAACATATGTATATACTATTTTGATGGACAAAATACACATTATGTAAAAGTGTTTACATTCATAACTTTGTCATGTATTTATTTGATCAATAGTAAAATATTATGATGTTCAAGATGTTCTTGATATTTACAACGAGTTCTCATTCAGGAAAAACTCTAGGGTTTCACTGTATTGCTTTGAGATGGATATTCTTAATCATAATTATCTGTTTCATTGACAGTTTTTTAATGGAATGTGTGTTAAATGTTTCCAAGGACCATTTTGACATCAGTTGAGATTATGGTGTGCTTTTAAAAAACAGCACTTACTAAATGATTTCTTATAACAATGAGGTTTCCTGCCATTAACTTCATTTTTGCATGTTCAGAATAAAATATATTAGTGGTGGCTTGTGATTCTCTTAATATTGCAAAATTTAGTTTGCTAGTGTTGTATTTGAAATTTTGGTATTTGTGTTTGTAGGTAAGGCTCCTCCCTCCCTCCCTCCCTCCCTCCTTCCCTCCCTCCTTTCCTTCCTTCCTTCCTCTCCTGTTTTTATATTCTCTCTATTCAGAATGTTTTCCAAGAGCACAGTCCTGTTTATTCTGCAGAGCTTCAGACCCTTTTGCCTTCTCTCCCCTCTTACCTCCCATGATCCCATCTCCGCAGGGCGTCTTACTTTTGGGCTTTAGTGGGGCCAGAGCTTTGTTTTTGAGACCTTTCTACTTCTAGAGCTACTCTGCCTTTCCCCCTTCAAACCACATCTGTCCAATGTCCCACTCTACTGCTGTGGCTGAGGTAACCTAGGTTTTTGCCTGACCCTTCAGGTGACACCTGCACGTTACAGAGGCTTTAGGGCTCTTTGCATTGGAGTTCTGGCCAGTCCTTCTCTCGCGCTCAGTTCACCCTTTGCCCAGAGAGGAAGGTGTTCTCCGAAGTCCCGTTCTCCAGGGGAGACCCCGGGGCTCTGTTTTCCCAGCCAGGCAGGCCCTCCCCACGGTCTCCGCACAAGGACAGGCTGTGGGAAGGGGTGAACCAATGACAGACAACGTGGGCAAATGAAGCCTCCTCACCTGTTCAAGCACGTGGACAAGAGCTGTAGCTCTCTTTTTAAAAAATTTAATATATTTTTATTGATTTTAGAGAGGAAGGAAGAGGGAGAGAGAGATGGAAACATCAGTGATGAAGGAGAATCATTGATAGAGCTTGCAAACAGCGCATGTACCCTTGACAGGAATTGAACCTGGGACCCTTCAGTCCACAGGCCAAAGCTCTATTCACTAAGCCAAACCAGTTAGGGTATCTAAGTGGATAGCTAATGCCTGTTTCCCTAGGGCCGTGGTCGGCAAACCGCGGCTCACGAGCCACATGCGGTTCTTTGGCCCCTTGAGTGTGGCTCTTCCACGAAATACCACGTGCGGACGCGCACGTACAGTGCAATTGAAACTTCATGGCCCATGCGCAGAAGTCGGTATTTTGTGGAAGAGCCGGTATTTTGTGTGGCTCGCGAGCCGCGGTTTGCCGAGCCGCAGTTTGCCAACCACTGCCCTAGGGCAACAGTTAAATAGAGAGTTGGAAAAGAGACGTGACTTCCTCCACAGGCACATGGCCTGCGGAGGTCAGCGGAGTCTGTAGGCCTCAAGTTAGCATCTAACACCATATTCACTTCAGCACCAACTAAAGATCAAGACGCTCTTCTGAAATGAAAAGCTACCCGAGAGGAAGGACAGCCAGTCCGCCTGTGGATGGCGAGTTATTTCACAAGGGTGAGCTACACGCGGACAATATTTGGTTTTATGTCAACACTATGATGTCGACAAAAGCTGGTCACAAGCACATGAAGCTTCAGAAGCCCAAGGCTCTGCGTTTTCTCAGCATCAATAAGCCTATCTCCCTGACCACTGAGCAGCACTGTGTTTCTCTGGGACTTGATGTTAGTAAGTGGGGAGCAGCCATGAGAAGGTGCACAGTGACATTGGTTAGTTTGGAGAAGTCTCAGTACCTTGGTGAGAATTACTCCCTGAAACTATAAATATGGGAGATGTTAGCTAGTCTGTGACTCCCTTGTGAAAATAAAGCACAATGGCTCAGCCAGCTGTGCTAAGAACTGGCAAACAAAGACACCTTAAATAGAAATGTTTTCAGGACACTGGATGTAAAAAGTTGACGATAATGCAAAAATTTAGTAATGTGAACCCTCAACAAACATTCATGTTCTAAAGATTTGACACACAGGACATCATTTGCCATAAACAGTGTCACTAATGATACTTACGTCAGAAAACAGAAACCTACTTAACCCACTACATGGGATTTTGAAGCCAGAAGGGCACCTGGGGATCGCTGTTCCAAGCCTAGGAAGATTGGGGGGTTTGTGGGAGATTCAGCCCCTGAGTGTGGTCTCCGAGCTCAGGCTGGGAGTACTTGGCCCACCTCTGCGCCCCTCTTTCAGGAACAACAGCACCTGCATACCTAGAGGCAAATGGTTCTAAGAACCAATGCAGCCAGGACTCGGTTACAGAACCACTGGCAGGGCCACCTGCCTGGCAGTAGAGGAGAAACAAGAGCTTACTTCTGGGCTCCGAGGACCCGCTGGTTTGGAAGGCTGACGCCTGAGGCTCCATGGAACCAAGCTGGCTTCAAGAAAGAGCATGATCCCTTGGGAACTCAGTTTTCAGGAGGCTTCTGGACGGGCCCCAAGCCCCAGAAGCTCCTTCTTCAGCTACTTAAAATGCAGACATCAGGGACCATCCTTGAATCATCACTGGGCTCCCCAACAGCCAGACAGAGGGAGCTGACTCCAGGGCCCAGTCTGCTCACAGCCAAGGGCTGAGTCCAATCAAGAGAAAATGCGTTTATGAAATGGCTCTGCTGCTGCTGGACAGGAACCTGAGCCCTAATTCCTAGGCGGGTTTTCGCCAAGAACCCTGAACTGCCACCGGTGTCACTGTGTCCGTGGGAATGTGCACATCCCTCTGCTTGGCTCTCAGAGAGCAGGCCAGGGGTGGAGGCAGGAGGAACAGTGGCGTCTGGATAAAGCTCTCTCTACAGAAGCTTGGCCTGGCTTCTCCCATGCACGTGGGTGACCAGTAACGTGTTGGTGTAGATGGCATATTCTCAAAACAGGAAAAGACTGATCATACATGCAAGGAAATCTAGAAGTTTCCAGACAAGAGCTTCTCTTGAGTTACAGATGAGGCAGCTCGCTGTGAAGGAAGGAGCCGGTGATTTGAGGCCAACCAGGTGCGTGGTGCAGCCCCAGCTCTGAAACCTGCTAGATGTGGGTGGGCGGAAGTTCTTTCCTGAGTATCTACTTCATAGGGTTTTTACTAAAGGAAGTAAACAGAGGACACAGTCAAGCGTCAGCCTCTTCCCCTCCACTGGAGGTATCAGGGGTTTTCCCGATGCTGACGTGGCCAAGTTCAGCCTGAAAGTACATGGAGAAGCTGCCGAGGGAACCCAGGCACACGGAGGAGGAGGGGGCAGAGCACTGACCGGAGGCGGGCGTCTGGGATCCCTTTCTCCAAGGGTTGGGTCTACCTCCTGTGGTTGTCAAACAACGTTGCTTGGACCTCTGGCTGGCAGGTGGGGGTGGGGGAGTGGGAGGAGGTGTTTGGGGCTCTGGAAGCCCTGGGAGTGGAAGGGTTTTTAACCTGTTTAAAACTCCGGAATTTCACATATGGATTCTGAGGCTAAGGCAAACACACACAGATCTGAAAAGTGCAGGGATAAACGGTCCGGCAGGCCACCTCCACACGAAGACCACGCATGGAGCGTCATCACTGCCTGAAGGAGGGATGGGTACATGATCCCAATCCGCAGGCAGAACCCCCAGGGCGAGGTGGGATAGCCCTGCTCCTCACCAATGAGAGAGATCAGAGCACGAAACTACAGACGTGAGCCCGAAGGGCTGTGTCGACGAAGGAGAGTTCGCGAGAGCCGAGAGGTCTTGGAAGCCTTCCGTACAACACACGCCGGGTCCTGACTGCACCACTCAGAGCTCATCACGAAGGGCTCCCTGGGGTTCTCCCAAGAGCACGGGGAGGGCCATTTTAGAGGGAGCTCTTTGGGGACCCCACCCATCTCTGTGCAAATACAGAACCTTTCCCCAGACCCGGCTGCAGAAAGCGGGCCCTTACCTTCCTCAGCTCTTCCTGGATGCTCTGGCTGTTGTCTTCAGAGGAGAGACTTTCTTTCTGATTCTCGGACTCTGTCTTGGGCTCGGACTCCTGATCCTCCCCCGAAGACGTCTCCTTCTCACTCATTTTCATCGCCAACTCGAACAACTTGTTTCTCACTTTCTCCTCCGTGGTGTCGGCACGGGTCCGGGGGTGCCGAGTCTCATTGCCACGGTCGGTCTCTGATAAGTCACCCAACACCTGAATGAAAACCAGAATCGTGAGCTGAGGACGCCTCTCCTACAGTCACGTGGTTCGTCCCCAATGGCACCCAGGAGGATCGTCCAGGAAAGTGACAGCTCTCTGACCTGGTCTGGAGAAACACAGATGGGCTTTTACTTTTCACTTTTATTTCCTCAAACACATGCATCTTAACACTTTGCTAAAGGGTTCGGACAGGTGAGCATCTAAACTCAGACACGTTGGAATTCATCAGGAGTTTTTAGTCACAAAATACTTGCTGAGCACCCAGCCTGAGCGGCACCATGCTGGTGCTGATAAGGCAAGGCTGAGCAAATCCGGCCCACCCCCCCTAGAGAAGGAGGCACAGTAAAACCTTCCATACTAGCCGCCATGATGGCGCGTGCAGAGAAGGGGGTGGGGTGGGAGGGATGCTCTGATAGCCACTAAGGGGCACTTGCTGGGAGACGCTGGGGATTAGGCAAAAGCCTTCCTTGTGGAATCAATGTCTGAGTTGAGCATCAAAGTATAGCAGCTACTCAGCTAAAGGCAGAGAGGGAAGAACAGGATGCCAGGCAAAGGTTTTGAGATGCAGCAAGGTCCTTGCACACCTGTAAGGAATACTGTGGTATTCCCTTGTCATTATGGTTCTAGCTTAGTGATGACACTGCAGCTCCTACTCTCCACTTGGTGAACATCTCCTAAGCTCCTTCTATGAGCAAGTCCCTGACCAGGCCTGGGGAACTCCAGGAGCACCGGAGGCTGTGACTCTCACTTATTCTTGGCCTTGTCATGGGCAGATGTATATGGAATGTTAAGATAACCGCAGCATACCATCAGGGTCTACTAGACCCAATTTTATTTTATTTTATTTTTTTAAATATATTTTATTGATTTTTTACAGAGAGGAAGGGAGAGAGATAGAGAGCTAGAAACATCGATGAGAGAGAAGCATCGACCAGCTGCCTCCTGCATATCTCCCACTGGAGATGTGCCCGCAACCCAGGTACATGCCCTTGACCGGAATCGAACCTGGGACCTTTCAGTCCGCAGGCCGACGCTCTATCCACTGAGCCAAACCGGTTTCGGCTAGACCCAATTTTAGAGTTTGAGTTTCCTCACTGAGTTGTTCAATCTATTTATAAGGCTTGATATCTCACGACTTTTATTACTTTGTGAATGGCTTCCAAAGAATAAATGGAAAACTTACTTATATTTTAAATAAAATAAAACGTTCTATCTTGCATTTACTACATGGGTTCACTGGGCCCTTTTGTAACTCTAAGGTACACGATGGGATCTTCGTGATCTAATTCTTCCCATCTTTTGAAATATTTTGCTGTTTCATCACCCTGGGAGATATTTTTCATGATTACTCATCAGTTATTCCCAATTATGCTAGGAGACTGAGATAATAATACGGAAGAAAAGAATTGCCTAGAAGAATGATTCAACAGTGAAATAAATCATCACTGTTTTGAGTCTGCTTTTAGCTCACTGCATACAGTTGAGAATTCAAAATTTCATAATGACAAAGAGAAGAAATGGACAGAGAACAATGCTTCACAATTATTAGGTGACTCAGAAGATGAATTGGCAGAGGAGCACAGCTCTCCAGACTCTAACAATGATGGTGAAGTTAAGTGTATGAGTAAAATCTCAGACCAAGAGTCTTCAGGTGATAACGTCCTAGGTGACTTATCTTAAACTCAAGAATCCATGAGCACACAATGTATTCCTAAGGACAAGAAAGTATGATATTTTCATTTAGTTAGTCATTCGACAGGAAGAGCTTCATCACGCACATTTGCAACCAGAATCTGGACCATCCTGTTTTGCTAAAAAGATGTGTGACAGTTCTGGCCGGGTGGCTCAGTTGGTTAGAACAAAAGGTTAAGGGTTGGCCCGGTCGGTGTGGCTCAATGGTTGAGAGTTGACCTATGAACCAGGAGATCACAGTTCGATTTCCAGTTGGAGCACAATCCTGGGGTTGTGGGCTCTATCCTCTGTGGTAGGTGTGCAGGAGGCAGCCGATGGAAGATTCTCATCATTGATGTTTCTATCTCTCTCTTCCTCTCCCTGAAAATCAGTAAAAACATTTTAAAAAGAGAGAGAGACAACCTTGACAACCTGCTATTTAAAAAAAAATTTTTTTTAAAGGTTGCAGGTTGGTTTCTCAGCCAGGGCGCTTATCTAGATGGCGGGTTTGGTCCCCAGTCAGGGTGCATATGGGAGGCAATCGATTCATGGTTCTTTCTCACATTGATGTTTCTCTTTCTCTCAAATCAATGAAAACATACCCCTGGGTGAGGATGAAAAAATAAATAAAATGTCTTTTAAAAAGCTTTCTTAAACAAGGTACAAAATTAAAAAATAAAGGAAATAATTGATAAATTATTATTAAGAAAAACGATGGACAAATTATTAGCAACAAAAACTTTTGCATGTAAAATGAAGTTAAGGCAAAAGTGATAAGCAAGGGGAGAATATTTTCAATGTGTAACCATCAAAAAACTAAAATCTACAACATAATTACAAAATAAAACTCATTCGGAAAAATCAATAAGAAAAAGGCAAGTGGTCCAATAAAATAACAGGAGGAGATAAATGTGTCTTTCACAGAAAAAAATGCAAATAGCTTTAAATATTGGGAAAAATGCGCAACCTCAGTCGTAACTATGAAAATGTTAACTGAAAAGAAATGCATTTCTCCCCTCACTTAAGGTGGTGACAGTTTCACAGGCTGACGGCACTAAGTACCGTGGACAACAGGGGAAAACATACTCAAACAGTGCTTGGCCGCGTGAACTGCTATGAGGTTTTGGGAGCTTGATTTGGCAAGTATTCGTTAGAATGAAAGATCCATGTACCTCAAGTCAGCAATTCTACTTCCTGTACTTGTGCAAAGAGACTTGCACAGTGATATTCTCCGCGGCGTTGTTTATAACCTCAGCCTCTGGAAAGTCTTTAATGTCCATCTTTCTGGGAACTGTGGGTGGTGGTCCCTCCCCACCATGGAGCGTGGAAAGCCCAGGGGGTTGGGTGGACGCTGGCAGCAGCCTGCCCCCGTGGGGAAGTTTTCCATCACTAGCATCACTTAGACTTTTCCGTGCATGGTTCAGAGCGATAAGAAAGAGACTGACTTCTGTTAGATTTAGTTTTGTTTAAGAACTCCCTACAGGCAAGGCACCCTCACGGCTTGCACCCCGGATGGATTGCTCCCACTCCCACACTCTCGTACACGCGATGCAGGTACGATGAGCAGTTCTGTGTGTGCTGACATCCCTATGACTTATTGTTAAGAGAAAGAGGAAGAAGAATATGGATAGAAAGACGCTGGTTTTGCTAAAACACAGATACATTTACAGAACTATATTTCTAAATGTACTATATGCGTATAAATGCACAAATACAACTGTAGTCATTTGGGGAAAGATAACAGGGATTTAGGATTGTGGTCAAGGGGGATAATATCTGTGTTTTGAAATTTATAATTTAAAAGTATACAGGTAAACTATATATATATTTTTTTCTTTTGAGAAGAGAACTGCTCTAGTAAACTAAAGAGAAGGGAGGATCGGGAGACCAGAGTTTCGAAGTCCCTGGAAGTGCAACGCCATCGCCACCTAGTGGAGAGGAGAGGACACTGCCAGGGAAGGTGGACACAACACTGGTCCAAGCCATCACCTTTCTCTCAGCGCTTGCCTTCTCTTTATCGACGCCTTGCAAAGATGAAGACCAAAAGATAACTTGCAAGTCACTTCAGAATAAATAGGAAGCTTCAAGCACCTACTTATGCTGCGTATATGGCATTTTATACCTGCAAGTGTGCAGACGACCCTCAAGAATATCCCGGAGGGAAGTTACTCACGGTTTCGGGAAAGCAGTCTGCACCTGAGCTAGGTGATAATGATTCCCAGTTGCACAGAACTTTATATTTACTCTATCGTCACAACAATCCTGAGATCACTTTTAATGATCTTGTTTTACAGAGAAAATGAGAGCTTAGCCCAAATACGGGCCTTTTCTAGGCTCGATATGCACAGGTCAGGTAGGACTGACGCCAAATTCTGTGACATTCACTCCCCTCAACCCTTCTTCGAAGTGGATTCCACTAGTATCTCCATTTACAGACGAGGAAGCTGAGACCAGAGAGATGCTTTGCTCAGGTCACATAGCTGGACTTGAACCAGGAAGGCTGACTCTAGGCCCCAGGCCCTTCCCCTGGTGCCAGTGGCCCTCACACTTGCATGCACAGGATTATCAGGAGAGTTCACTGCCACAGAGATGGCTGGATCCAGCAGGACTGGGTGGGGCCTGCGAATCTGCATTTCCAGCATGTTCCCCGATGCTGCTGGTCTGGGGCCACACCTTGCAAAGCTACTTTGAACCCTTAGCTCTCATCTCTGAGGGGCCGTGGAACGCCAGAGAGTTGATGTGACCTGTCTGTGTCGCTCAGCTACCTAGCAGCAAACATCATGATGAGAATCTGGGTCTGAAGTCTTAACCCCGGACTCTCTATGCCAACCGTGCTTGAAGGAGTGCACATCCTCCCGGAAAGTGTGCGCGCGCGCTTGCACGCACCTATTTTATTACCTGGTGGGTGTTCAGCTCCTGGGAATGGGCGTTGGGGGAAGATAGCTCCTTGCTTGGATCCTCTGAGCCCACGCGGGCCCTTCTCCACCTCCGGGCCCGCCGGTCTGGCGCGTGGTGGGCCTCCTCAGGCTCGCTGCTGTCCGAGGTCTCCCTGCTGGCTGCCTGGGGATTGAAGTTCACGTCCAGCTCCCCCTGGAGGTGCATCTTTTCGGCGACAGGGGTCCTAGGAGCCTTCCTCTGCAGCCAGGACAGTCTGGCCCGATGGTGCCCTGTTTCCCGGGAGGAGCCCGTGGAGGACGTCTCTGAGTCAGAGCACGTGGCCTCGAGGTGGGGGGAAAGCCTGGAGGGAGCAGAGATGGCGGGGGGGACTTGGTCCAAGCCTTGGGCCTGCGTGGGCTGAGGCTGGGGGTTCCTGGGCAGATCCTGGGGCCGTGGGCATAGCGTGCTCAAGGCCTCACTCCAGTCAAAGTCCTCCTCGCTGTCGGAGCCCATCTCATCGTAGGCGGAGGCCACGCTGGAGGCAGCCTCCAGGGCCTGGAATGCGCCACTCTTAGGTTTGGCCAGCAGGCGGGCGGGGGGCAGAGCGCCATCCTTCAGCGCCACCCAGTTCCCATCGGGGCTCTGCAAAACGGGGGCCCGGTCTGTAGGTGGGAGGGAGAGAGAAACCAGAGAGGCCGTTATCAGCTTAGAGCAGGTGAGGTTGCTACCTGCCACTGCCCCATGACTGGCTCCTGGGGTCTTGGGGAGCAGCTGCTCTAGGAAGTCCATAGGGGCACACCTAACTGGGGGCAAGTTGAAAGGTCCCCAGGAAGTCCCTCGAGGCCTCCCAGGGCCCCAGTGCTGCATAGATGAAGAGAAACTCAGAGATCTGACTCCTATCTAATGCCACCTAGGTAGATGGTCCCCTCCGTCTCCAAGAGTCGCCCCACTCCTGTCCTCGGCTGGCCTGGCCTGGGCAGCGACGGGGAGAGGGCAAGGCTGCTGCTGGCGGCCTCAGGTCCTGGCCCTTTGACTTTGGCCATGGTTTTGTCTCTTAGATCCTCCTTTTCCTCACTGGATGGGAGAAGACACCATCACCTGATTCCATCACCTGCCTGGCCCACCTCAAAGGTTAGCACACCCTGCCCTCAGCAACTGTACAGACCTCACTCACAACAGCCTTGACAGATGGCGTGGGAGTCAGCCCGGTGCCGCCTCCTCTCCTCCCCTGCCTTTGGCAATCCCAGGTTGCCATGTTGCCCTGGGGAAGCTAGAAGTTGGCCAACTTCTTTCTCGGCAAGAGCACAGACATCTCCACAAACACTCAACCCTATGAAAACCTTGGTTGTCGAGCTGCATCATGGGAACTGCTCAACGTCGCATCTGGGCTCCAAGACCACATTCTCTTTGTCCACTGGGGGCATCCTCTGGGACCCTGCTCCTCGCCACCCCCTCCTCTGTCCAAATTCTCACCCTTTCCTGGTTGTGCAGACAGTAGTCAGCGAGCAACTGGGGGCAGGGACCATTCCCTGATCTTCACGTCCCAGCTGTGCGCACAGGAGATGCTCGGTCAAGGTCTCTAAGTGAGTGTGTGTTTTGGGGGGACCCACGAGCTGCTGTGAGCGCTGTCAGGACTGAGGCAGAGTTGCTGTGGTTCACTCAGCCCGCAGTGCTCCTGGAGCTGACCCCAGCTGTGGACCGACAGGCTCCAGAACCAACCCTCCCCCTGACGCAGAAACAGAGCTGCTGACAACAGCCCAGTGGACATTAACCTTCTACGATGACCTCCGCCTCCAGGCCTCCTCTGTTCTGCATCTCTGCTCCGCTAAGGCTGGGCCATGCCCCCGGGAGTGATCTGCTTCCTGCTGTACATATCAGACAGCGGTCAGGACCTCTGGGGTTGGCCTGGACATTTCAGCACGTCAAGGGCCCAGCATTCCTCAGGAAAACCAGCGATTTCCTACACAAGTGCTTTATTTATTATTTATTTTTCATTTTCCATCTCCCTCCTGAGGGATGCATGGATGTTTGGACTGAGTGTGAAATGTGTGTGTGTGTGATGTTGTTGAACTAAGTTTTATGCGTACACAGAACTGATGAATTACACGCCGGTGCCTTGTTTTACGGAATATTATGCACGCAATCGTGTTTTGAAAAGCAGAGCCCTCTGCAAATGTATGCGGAGTGCTCGTAATTCAGCGGGGAACTGTTTTGTGGAGTGGAGTGTCTTTTAGAAGGTTTATCATATCCTTTAAGTGTACCAGTGTGTACGTTTGAATTCTGAAATGCTGTTCTTGTCACTGCTGCCTGTTTGTTTTTCAGGTCGGGGGACTCTCACTGTCGATTTGAAAAAGCTGTGATCGGAGCCACGGTGTGTGCTTGTGAGGACCAGGGTGCTCCCAGCTGTGGGGTCCTGGACAAGCCACTCACGCTCACTGTCCCTCAAGGCTTTCACCTGGCACGCAGGACAATGGCAGTGCTTGGGAACCCCGTGGGAGGAATAAACAAAATAGGGCCCGCAGGTGGCCGCTGTCCCTTGTAAAGCGATTCTTAAAAGCTAGTTATTTATTATTCTTTAGTGAAGATCTATTATGCGATGTTCTCAGAGGTCCTGTGGAATCTAAGAGTTCCTTCTCTGTGATAATTTTCCATCCAGGTGAGAGAGAAAGAAAAAAAAATATGAATGAACGAATGAATGTGGGTCTGTTGGGCAACAGCAGGGGGAAGAAAACATATCTAGAAAGGAAAAATGCACTTAAGGAAACCCAAAACCATACGCATACATAAGGAAAACTTCATGTGCTCACAGAATCTCCGCAATTTCTACTGACAGGTCCTAAAAGGTTCACATGGAAAGATTTCTTCTGGAAGGTCTTTAGAAAAACTGTTAAAAAATACTTCATGTTTTTTATTCTTTGCACTGTGATAACAACAGGTTTGGCTTATCTGGCTGCTGGTTAAGTCTTTGCCCTGACAGAGCAGAAGTGATAGCACAATCCTTGAAAGCATTGTGGGTATTTTGCTGCTAATTTATTGTTACGGTTGCTGAGGAAAGGGGTCGAGATTTGGGGGGACAATATGGGTGGAAGTGCTCTCTATGGCTCCCTCTTGTGGGGACAACATTCCTAGCTTCCATCACAGGTATGCGTATTTAGGTGAGGAAGGAACTGACCTGTGTGGGGTGGGGTGAGCATCGGTGAGCATCTTTATCCCAGGTATGGGGCCCAGGAGACCTCCCTGGCCTGGGCACAGGGGCTTCCCGGCCCTCGGCTGCTCCCCAGGTGATTCCAAGCATCTGGCAGCCTTCTGATGTGTGTGTGACTCTGGGGAAGGGTCTCAGCTAGTTTGGGCCCCTAAGGTTGGGAGGGATCACTTGACTTGACAGCTTAACAAAGGACTGTGTGTGATAGATGTTGAGGAGTTTCTGCAGAGGGAAGTCCAATTGCCCTGTACAGAGAGAGGCATTCCAGGAGGAGGAGCAGGAAGAGGGAACAGCAATGCCCTCCTCCTGTGTGGCAGGGGGGGAAAAAATCATGTGTCATCTGTTCCTGGGATGCAATTTCCCAGCCAGGACTACATTTCCCAGGATCCCCTGCTTCATGGTGGGGCCATGTGACTAGTTCTTGCTCCTGGGATGGGAGTGAAGGTGGTGCAGGTGTCATTTCCCTGCTGAGGTGGTTAGACAGCAGGTGCACCGACTTCTCCATTCTCTCTTCCTCCACCTGCTGGCCAGACGAGAATGGCCAGGGAAGACTCGGAGGCCCTAGGGGCCGGCAGAGCCACAGGGTCGAGGAGCCTCTGAAAGCCTCCTGCAGCCAGGACACGGCACTGCACGGCTGCCTGATGAGAACTAAAACTATGGCATTAAACCACCTAAAGGTGTGGTTCACTTGGCATAACAAGTGTCACCCTAACAAACATGTCGGGGCTTCAGAAAGGACACTCTTAGAACCAGACACTGGATCCCCAAATCCCTTTGAACGCTGACCTGTCTGCTGGGTTGGATTAGCGTTCCTGGCCTGCATGAGACATCCTCCCCCGTCCACGGACCAGGGGCTAGTCCTCGTCTCCATCCACTCTACAGGCAGCTGCCGTGGGCTGTGCAGCCATGTGAGTTGCACACACACGTCCAGGAGCCCCCTCCCCCACTGTCCCACGGGTCTCACAGGAACACTGCCCAGGCTGCCCACAATGGGCACACGCTGCTCAGATGACAGAAGAGCTGAGCGGCCACGCGGCAGCCAGAAGCCTCCAGACAGCACAGTTAACCCACAGGCCAACCAGATGCTGCTTAAAACACTCACCTGTCTGGTCCGGACTGTCCAGGCTCCTCCAGCTGGGCCACGCCGACTCCTCCCTGGGCTGCTGGCCCAGGCTCCCCGGCTGCCTCGACGCAGCCTCCAGCAAACAGGTCTGTAGGGCATCTTCTCCGATGGGTGAGAACTCGGACGGGGACCGCTGTGGGCAGAAAGGAGGGGAAAGGGTGAACTCAAGGGGCGTGGGCCCCGGGAGGAAGGCCTTCAGCTTTGCGGCCGACACTGCACAGCGTGGAGGAGACGTGACAGTGTGGCCTTTTCTCGTGTTCTGGTTAAAAGCTGCAAATCAGTACATAGGGCCATGCAATGGCAGAAACGGTTCCTGCTTATTCCACCGCCAGCCGGCCAGCCTGCACTAATGGAACAGACAGAGCCAGTTCTCACGGGGCTCCGTATCCAGCCAACCCCCAGCTAGTATTTCTCAGGGCCGATTATATGTAATAAAAGTAAAAGCATCGTTTCCTCGAAGACTCTGAGCCTGAGTTTCAGCAGGGTGGACAGTAAGCCACAATGTAAGTGCTGCAATAGACAAGTGAGCCAGAGTGGTCAGTCCACAGGCCAGAACTATCGCAACACAGTCCGACGTGGCGCCTGAATGAACAAAAGGGAAATAAACTCCAATCCAAGGAGAAGTGGGATTTCCAATGACTGACAGGAACCTTGTTTAAACTGTATCATAAATATGTTATAAATATTATCTGTAGAGAATCTGAAGCTCAGATGTTATAGATAAGGAATTTCATCCAACAGAGACCCATGTTCCCCTTGTCACTTAATGAAGGAATCCTCTTTTACTGGTGACCTAGTTTTCTCTTTTTATATGGACAAACCCAGGAGGGAAAGGGCATTGAAGAGGCAAGGCCCCCCCGCACCACCCCCCTCCTGGCAGTGTCTAGGACAGCAACATGAAACCAAGGACTGTGTCTAATGCTCATCCAACCGAGCAGTCTGTCTCCACCTGCTGGCATGTGATAGAAGTGAAAGCACCTTTTCCTCGAAGACTCCAAACTTCAGTGTCAGCCGGGCTGCCATAGACAAGTGAGCCATGAATGGTCAGTCCACAAGCCCTAGGCCTGGTCAATGCAACAGCCCAACGCCTCCTCTCCCACCACAGGTGCTAAGAAGACAAAAGGAGGTGCGAGGAGACAAAGGAGAGTGCTTCTGGGGAGCTGTAGGCAGGCCCTGGGTGGTTGGGGTGGATCCAGGAGGGCAGCTGTGGGCAGGGCCTGGGTGGTTGGGGGTGGACCCAGGAGGGGAGGTGATGGCAGGGCCTAGGTGGTTGGGGGTGGACCCAGGAGGGCAGCTGTGGGCAGGGCCTGGGTGGTTGGGGGTAGACCCAGGAGGGGAGATGTGGGCAGGCCATGGGTGGTTGGGCGTGGACCGAGGAGGGCAGCTGTGGGCAGGGCCTGGGTGGTTGGGGGTGGACCCAGGAGGCAGCTGTGGACAGGGCCTGGGTGGTTGGGGTGGACCCAGGAGGGCAGCTGTGGTCAGGCCTGGGTGTGTGGGGTGGACCAGGAGACAGCTGTGGGCAGGGCCTGGGTGGTTGGGGGTGGACCCAGGAGGAGAGCTGTGGACAGGCCCTGGGTGGTTGGGCGTGGACCCAGGAGGGGAGCTGTGGACAGGCCCTGGGTGGCTGGGGCTGGACTCAGGAGTCAGCTGGACCTGGGCCTTTGCTGTAATACCTTGGCCAACTGACTGAATTACTTTTCAAAAAATATTTTTTTCCCATCACAATTGACATTCAATTATATTAGGCTCATGTGCACAACATAGTGATTAGACATTTATGTAACGTATGAAGTGGTCCCCCTGATAAATCCAGTACCCATGCAACTGCTCGCCTCTTCCACAGACTGTCCACAGACTGTGAGCTCCCTGAAGGCCGGGAGAGACTTTTTAGGGGGGGTCCTCAGTCCCATGTTTGTGACTGAATGTGTGGGACTCAGGTCTGGCCTGGAGGAGCTGACAGCCTATTGCCAGGTGCCGTGTTACTGTAGGCTCACAGGAGATACTTCCTATTCCCATCTCCAAGCTCCTCACTGTAAATCACGCAGAGCGTATGTTCAAAAACGGGGAAAGTAGCCGGGCCGGCGTGGCTCAGTGCCTGAGCATCGACCTATGAACCGGGAGGTCACGGTTCGATCCTGGTCAGGGCACATGCCCGGGTTGCAGGCTCAATCTCCGGCAGGGGTCATGCAGGAGGCAGACAATCAATGATTCTCTCTCATCACTGATGTTTCTCTCTCTCTCTCTCCCTTTCTCTCTGAAATCAATAAAAATGTATATTTAAAAAAAGGGGGGGAATAATATTTAATGTTTCATTTTATAGTGGCTCAAATAGTAATTGATGCATCTACATGTGTGTCTGCAGGAGGTGGCTGGGATCATTTTTACGAGACAAAAATGTCCCCCAAGATACAAAAGCCAAGGCCAAAAAATAGAAAGTCCCTCGCTGGTCCCAACAGGGGAGATGGGATATATTTTCTTCATGAGAAAGCTGGGGGTGCCAGGCTTTTATAATCTACGTCAGACAAGCATTGTTTCCCACTAGAAAATGCTATTTCCTGATATTCACAACAGGCTCCAAAGAACTGTCTGTAACCAGTCACAGGACACTGCTGGCCCGGTCTCCAGCCAGGGCAGAAAAGCCCATTCAGAGGCCCAGACCTGGTTTCACCACAAATGTGTTGCAATAAACACATTGAGCAGTAGATGGCGCCACAACAATGCTTTTATGGACCAGTTAGTTCAAGCTCTGTGGCTCCTGGGAAGTGATGGGATTACCTGAGTAATTTATTTGCTCATAACCTTGGGCTGGGCCGCTTGTGCCCTTTCTTTCCCACCCACAGACTCTACCTTTCTTCCCTTCCTCTAACCTACCCGAAGGCTCGTGGAAGAAGCAGGGCTGGTGATGTCTGGAAGGGTGGCCTGAGTTAGAGTCTGCACATGTACGCAGGGAGGGCTGGGAATGCTGGTGGAGCCCGTGGTCCAGGAATGCCAGCATGGCATGCCAGCAGAGCCTTGCAACGAGGGACTTGAGAATCCGAGCTTTCAAACAGGCCGCGCCTCTTAACTCTGCAGGCACTGACTATGGGTGGTGTGTTAGGTCAAGTCCGGCTCCTCCTCTTGCTATGTGGGTTCTTGGGGGAAACTTCAACCATACTAAGCCTCAGTTTCCTCATGCAAAGGGATCAGTGTCAGGCTGGGCATATGGAAAACACTCAATAAACGGTAGCTAAAATAAGAGCAGTTATTAAGGCCTATCACTGAGCCAGGCACCTTATCCATCCTCTCACTCAGTCCGATTGGGTGTGCATGAGTAAACTGAGGCAGGCATTGAGCTCAGGTCTGCCTGGCTCCAAGCCCATGCTCTTCCATGCCCTCTGGGAGCTGTGCAAAGCACTCCTGGCTACCGTGCGGGACCTGCCACGGAGCTCTCCGGCCCTGCAGCTCTCAGTGAGACACCCAGTGTGATCATCAGTTACCTCTGGGATCAGTAACCCTTGAACAATGTGGGGTTTAGGGACGCTCACCCCCGTGCAGTGGAAAATCCATGTATAACATTAACCCCCCTCAAAACTTCACTAATAGCCTATAGTTGACCGGAAGCCTTATTGATAATACAAACAGTTGATTAACATATTTTGTATTATATCCATACTAGTGGCCTGGTGCATGAATTTGTGCACAAAGGAAATTAATTAGAAGAAATATTTTAATATTGCTATTCACCCTTTCTCTATAATAGAAGTGTTAACCAAATTCACGATCGACAATGACAGATGGAAACATACGCGTGCAATTGGCAGAGCGAGAGCTTTATATGTATCGTGCATACATGAATCACCTTAGTCTTTTATAGATATAGAATAAACTTGCTTAATTAGACCTGCTTTCTGCTTTAGCTAAACTTTTTCCAGCCCAGTGAATTACCCCAACTTCTCTTTCAGGTAATTGTCAGCAACACAGCAGTTAAATATCAACATGAAACAGATTATTATTGTAGATCATGCAGGGAGAACAAAGGGTAAAATATTTAACTGCAGCAGTGTTTAACTATATTCTGCGCAGTGAGAAAACCTGAAGTCACTTTCAAGGTTCACCATTCCTTACTTCTTTTCAGTCGGGTCAAGTTTCTAAGCTTTCTAAATCTCTTGTTTTCTGGCTAATGAAAAGAAAATAAGATTCCAACGAGTCTCCTATCTACCTACTCCAGGACTTCTGTAAGGATCAAATGAGGCGAGGCCCAGGAAAACACAGACATTCACAGACATTTGGTTACAGTGTAAAATGTTTCCACCTGGCTATAAAGCAAGTCATGTTCCTAGGCTAAAGAAACTCCAAGGAGGCTAGTTGCTAGGGAGAGGAAGCTGGGTGTTGCTATGTGACATAATTACCAGGATGGACACTTAGCATATTAGCCTTTATATAGAGAGATTATATACTGTCTTCCATTTTTTAAACAAATTTAAAAACCTGATTTCAGAGAGAGGAAGGGAGAGGGAGAAAGAGATAGAAACATCAATGATGAGAGAGAATCATTGATTGGTTGCCTCCTGCATGCCCCACTGGGGACCAAGCCCACAACCCAGGGATGTGCTTTGACCAGGAATCCAAGCAGGACCTCCTGGCTCATGGGCCGATGTTCAACCACTGAACCACACTGGCCAGGCTGTATATTGTTTTCTTATAGTAAAGTAAGCTAGAGAAAAAAAAATATTAAGAAAATCATAAGGAAGAGAAAATACAGTATTTGTTGGAAAAAAAGTCCACACAGAAGTGGACCTGGGCAGTTCAAGCCCCGTTTTTCAAGGGCCAACTGCCCCTTCCTTTACAGTCGCTGCGTCCTGAGTGGGCGGCAGCAGCAGAGCATTCTACCTACACCTCTCGGAACGGCGCTATGATTGCTCTAATTGTCGTCATGGCCAACAGGGCAGGCTCCCCGAGGCACCAATCACTATCAGAACAGTCTTCGCGGTCAAGGAGCTCACAGCATAAAACAGGGACAGAACGTTTTTAGCATCGAGGGCTGGGGAGCAAAGGGACCGGTAATAATGGTCAGATGACTCAACAATTGAGACAGCTTTGCTTTGTATTGGTAGGGTCAGTCGTAGCCATTGAATTCAATCCAATAATTATAACAATAATAAAAAATGACTTCAGGTCTGTGCGACAGCCAGTCAAAGGACAGAGCAACTATGAGGGAGAAAATAGCAGTGATTCAGTGAAACGGGGGAGGGAAATAGAAAAGAAAAGAGCAGAGACAGAGAGTCAGGGCCGGGCTTAGTCACTGGCATATCCCGAGTGCCTGGCCCCTGCTGCCATCATCATGATATCAAGAGGATCATCGTATTATTATTACAGAGACACATTTTTATATACAGGCGCCCAAAGGGACAGGCACGGAATGAATTATAACCCTGGGCTAGACCTTTTAGGATATTGCATCATAAGGCTTTGAAAGGCGGGTGGTGCTGACCCCCTACAGGCAGAGAGCCACACAATAACGGAGGAAATTAAAAAGAGAACAATCACGCTGAACTTTCTTTCATGAGAACAGATGAGAAATCCTGGCTGAATGGGAATGAATTAAGTTTGGGATTTGCAGTTAAGCCCAGGGAGCCTGCAGCGCTCCGAACTCAGCGCAGTTACTCCCCGAGCCGTACAGAGGAAGATGCTAGATCAGTGGTTCTCAACCCGTGGGTCGAGACCCCTTTGGGGGTCGAACGACCCTTTCACAGGGGTCGCCTAAGACCATCGGAAAACACATATATAATTACATATTGTTTTTGTGATTAATCACTATGCTTTAATGATGTTCAATTTGTAACAATGAAAATATATCCTGCCTATCAGATATTTACATGACGATTCATAACTAGCAAAATTACAGTAATGAAGTAGCAACGAAAATAATTTTATGGTTGGGGGTCACCACAACATGAGGAATTGTATTAAAGGGTCGCGGCATTAGGAAGGTTGAGAACCACTGCGCTAGATCAAGGGCAATGGAGCAGGAAAAGGGTATTCAATGCCTGGCCCCACCAACCAGCACATGGGTGAGCTTAAGTAAGTTATGTGAAAGCTTTAGCCTCCGTTTCCTCACCTGTAAAATGGGTCTAATGATACCTGCATCCCCATCTTATGATGGGCAGACAGAGTGCCTGCTCCTTACCCAGCAATGGTTCCTGTCCCCTCCCACTGGGGCCTCATCAGCATCTGTGGCCATTGTGCTGGGATTGCCACTCATATTGTATTCCAGATGAATGGGGCTCCCACAGTCAGGCAATGTGGTGGCCTTGACCAGGCTCAGTCCCTCTCAGGCCCCAATTGCCGAATGTGGTCCCAGCACAGGCTCCTTCATCACAGGGGGTCTAGGGCCTGGAGTGGGCCAGGCGGGGTAGGGGTGCAGGGGGTTGGGAGGAGAGGAGAAAGAGGGGAAGCATTAGCTTCGCCCATGCGGGTGGGCAGTGTGCCCAGACGCACTGCATGGAACCCGTGAGGAAGCTGACCCTTGGTCCACTGGATGTGCCCCCACCTCGAGGGCACCAGGCTGGCCCTGCTATGGTGCTGGTTAGAGGGGAAGGGCCAGGGGTCCTGGCCAAGGGAAGTTAGGCCTGTGACCACTGGCAATCAGGCTGCTCAGAGGGGCCAACTGTGCCTGGGGCCGAGCTGGATGCGGGATTTTTCTTTATTCCCCGAGTCAGGCGGCTCTGTGTGGGGCGATTCCCATGAGCACAGTGCGGCTCCTGACTAGCGCTTAGGTGAAAACCCGCTGTTTCCGTGGTACAAATCACGGCGCAGGGAGAACTCAGAGGAGGGGCCAGGAGGAGACTCCTTGATGAAACATCCAAGTTCGTTCAGGATGAAGGCTGTAGTGATCTCGTCCCTGTGGTACAGTGCCCACACCCCTGCCAGGCCACACAACCTGGGGTTAAAGTGTTAACCAGAAGGCGTGCTTACCCAAGGGGGTGCACCAATGTCCTTTATGGGCTTTTATTTCAAACCACAAACTCGAGGTTCCATCTCCCCATACCCCCTGTGACGCCCTGCCCCCCCCCGACCCCAAAAGTGGACTGATCCTGGGGAGTGGACATAACTTACAAAGAGATTCAAAAGATGCTTTAGAGCAGAGAGGAACCTCCACTGGGCCCTATTCTATCCCAGCATCGGGAAATAAACCATATTCTGCTCTTTGCCCAGGAAAAAAGGAAGAAATGAGTCAGCGCTGTCTACCTTGGCGTCGAAGCCAGAGTGAAGACCGCGCTGCGTGGGAGGCAGGCGTCTGGCAAGACAGGTCTCCTGACAAGAAGAGAAAACCCCGGAGGTATTAGTGTAGAACCCAAGCGGGAACCCTGTGCTAAAAGGCTCCCTTAGTGAAGGCGGCAGCGAAATAAGCTGACAGCATGTTGACAAAGGAAGGTCCTGCCCATCAGCCAATGAAGTGAAATCTCTGATAAAGCCATAAGGATGCTCCCTGTCACCCCATGCGCCTGGCGACTGGTGAATCCTGGGCAGAGTCTATGCAGGCGAGGCTGCTGACCATCCCTTCTGGGATGGCGTGTCTGCCATGTGGCTGCCCTGCACACCCTTCTTTCACTCTGTTCAGAAAGGGGGTGCGTGCCCCTAACCCCCAGGAGGAGTGGGGTAAGCACTAGGCATTGCTCCCCCACTCATGTGACTTTCCGGTTTTAAGCTGTACCTGTGTGTTGCCCTGGCCCCGTGCTCTGCCTGCTGGCACCTGGAGCTGTGGAACCCACGCCCAACGAGCCAGTCCTCCTCCTGCTGAGCCTCCCCAGGCCCAGCCTCTGCTTCTCCCATGCTCTGTGCATCCTCCGCTGGACACAAAGAGAGCCTAGATTTCACAGGCCGGGTGCCGCTACTGCGGACATGAGCAGGCCCAGACCCGGGTCACAGGAAGGGCGCTGTGCTTCAAGACTGAGCCCCTGGCTTAGTCTCAGGGTGACAGACAGGAAGGCTGAGCCACACCACGACTGCCCGATTAGGTCTCGAAGTGGCCATTTTGGTGACTCAGATGGCAGTGGCCATTCTCTTGCTGTCCCTTTCTGGTTTTGGAAAAGCAAGTGGTCTTCCTGATACAGCTTTTTATTTTCCTCAAGGGACTCAGTACAGCTCTTTCCGGAATGAATGAAAAAGTGCCTACTGACATCTTGATTTTCCCTGGATTGGTCTCTGTGGAGAAACCTACCTCTGTATTCTCCACTGTCCCTTTGTAGCTATTCTTTCTTTTTTTTCTCTCTTTTTTTTAAAAAATTGTTTTATTGCTTAAAGTATTACAAAGAGCTCCTTTTTTTCCCACCCTTGACAATTCCCTGGCCTCCCCTACCCCCCAGTGTCTTATGTCCATTGGTTATGCTTATATGCTATCTATTCTTTCTTTCTCCTCCCTCACCCCTCCTACCCGGACTCTCACACACACTTTCTCAGTTTCTCCCCCTGCCCACCACCCTATTCCTTTATGCCAGCCGGTGGGCACACGAGTTAATTACAGATGGTTCTGTGTGCTGACCCCGTTTCCCGGGGAGAGCGTGCAGGACGCCTGCGTTACTGCCTGGAGACTGCGTTACTGCCTGGAGACTCAGGCAGGGTGGCCTCCGGGGGAGGCCGCGGTCCCCTCGTCGGCCGCCTTCGCACTGCAGCTCTGGGGCTGTGACCACTCTGGCTCTTCTTCCGTTTGCTGCTCACCTTTGCTCTTCTGTTTTCTTATGATCTGGGGAGGAGGAGGGGTGACAAAGGGGGAGAGTTACGGAGAGGCCTCAGAGTCTAGGCGGCGTGACCGGGACCACCTTGGGGATTTTTCTTTCAGCCACGCGAGAGCTTGGTTTCAACAGAAGGCCAGCCTCCTTCAGATCTGTCTTAGGACAAAACAGTACAACTATGGCCTTGAACATTCCACAGCACTTTACAGTTTACAAATAATCGTTTTATGATGGCAACGACTTCTTCTCTTTACCAAGTGCCCATCATGTGCCGGACGCTGGGCCAGGCACCAGAGATGCTTTATCTCATTTAATCCTCAAAACACTGCTAAGAGCTACAGACTGTAACTACACCTGTTGTACAGATGAGGAAACAGGCTCAGAGAGGTTAAGTTACCAGTTAAGGATGCACAGCTCACAAAGAGTGGAGCTGGATCTCAAACCAGAGTCTCCAGCTGTAAATCTTGATTTTAGGAAGCACCGGGAAGGCCTGTGCAGGGGGCAGACAGCAGGAGTCATCAGGGTTGGCTTCGGCTTGCTCGCTCCGCTTGCTGTGTTGGGCACAGCCATGGGGATTGAATGAGTCCATTCATACAATGGTCTCTGGGCTCCCAACTTCCTACAGGCAGGAAGTAGCTGAGAAAACGGCTGAGCCACCAAGATGAACATATCCTCCAATGCCTTTCTGGACCAGACAAGATGATGAAGAGGAAGGCTGAGAGCCAAGGAAAGCAATGAACTACAGTGCATTCCCAGGGACAGACCTGGGCCTAATCAAGGCCCACCCCTGACCTGCAGAGTGGGGACCTGGCACATGCACCTAGCAGGATTTCAGAATTGCTATGGACCGGTCACCTCCCGACTTTGCAGGTGGGTGGGAGGTGTTGCTGTCCTATTCCGGCATTGTGTGTTGGTATGTGGGGACAGGTGACTTGTTTGCTTAGTTCATAGGTCTCCATCTTAAAAGGAACTGACTCTGAATCACATGTACAATGACTTTAATCTGTTATTGACTGAGGCATTTGGGGGGTCGTTAGGTGGGAAGAGTGTCATGTGAAAGAGACAAGACTTACTGTGACTAAAAGGAAGACTGAATTTGTCCAATGCTCCCTTTGTTGCGTGAGTCTGTGTTTCTCCCAGGACAGGGAGGATATACAGGTGACCCTTGAATAACACAGGTGTGAACTCCATGGGTCTACTTAAATGCAGATTTTTAAAAATCCACATATATGTGAATCCATGCAGTTCTAACCTGCGTGGTTCAAGGGTCAACTGTATTTTTCTTTTTTAAAAATATATTTTTATTGATTTCAGAGAGGAAGGGAGAGGGAGAGATAGAAACATCAATGATGAGAGAGAACTATTGATCGGCTGCCTCCTGCACGCCCCCTACTGGGGACCCAGCCTGCAACTTGGGCAGTGCCCTGACCAGGAATTGAATAAACTGTGACCTTCTGGTTCACGGGTCGACACTCAACCACTGAGCCACACCAGCCGGGCTTACCCGTATTTTTCTTACTGCAGTTGAGAATCTGCATAAGCAGAAAACTGACTTACTTTATACATGGATTTGCAACTGCACAGGTGGCTGGCACCCCAACCCCCACAGTGTTCGAGGATCAAGTGTACCTCCCACCTCTGGCTTTGTGTTGACTGTGTGCCTGGCTGTGGCCAATGACATGTGAGGAGGGAGTGGGCTACAGGGAGTTATGGCTGAGCCTAGGCCTTGATAGACGTCACTGGCTCCCTCTGGCTGCCTTGTGCTTGGTCATGGTCACGAGTAGCTGATGAGGTAAATGAGGGAGGGCCCCAGAGTGAACACACTTGACCCCAACCCACTGCTTTGGATGGAGCCAGTGCAGATGCATGAGCGAGAAGGAAACTGTGGTACAATAAAAAATATATTTGCTGTTAGACTGATTCCAGGTACAGAGCTTCAAAAATCCTTGGAATATTTCGAGTGACAAGAGTGTCTTTGTTATGCTAATGAGGTGACTCATGGCCAGGGCCACTAGATAGAAGGAGGCTGGTGGTTAAAAAAAACAACCAACCAGAGAAAGACAAATACCATACTATTTCACTTACATGCAGAATCTTAAAAACAAAATAAAGGGACAAACCAAACAAACATATTCATAGATATAGAGAGCAAATGGATAGTTGCCAGATTGGATAGGATTGGCTGATGGGTGAAAAAGGTGAGGGATGAAGAAGCACAAATTGGTAGTCACAGAATATTCATGGGATGTAAAGTACAGCACAGGGAATACACTCAGTAATTCTGTAATAACTATGTATGGTATCAGGTGGGTATTAAACTTATTGGGGTGACCATTTCATAAGTGTCTAATCACTAAGTTATAACCTGAAACCAATATAATATTGTATGTCAACTGTAATTGAAAAGCAATTAAAACCCCAATCCTGTAAACCAAGGAACTTTAAGCTCTACCCCAACCTCTGGGGAGGGGACAGGGACTAAAGATTGAGTTCATGCAGGTGGTCAATGACTTAAGCCAGCGGTGCTCAACCTGTGGGTCTCGACCCCTTTGGCGGTCGAACGACCCTTTCACAGTGGTCGCCTAAGACCATCCTGCATATCAGATACTTATAGTACGATTCATAACAGTAGCAACATTACAGTTATGAAGTAGCAACGAAAATAATTTTATGGTTGGGTCACCACATGAGGAACTGTATTTAAAGGGCCAGAAGGTTGAGAACCACAGACTTAAGCAATTATGCTTACTTAATGAAGCCTCTATTTAAAAACTCTGAAACACGGAGGCTTGGGGAGCTTCCTAGCTGGTACAGGCACAGAGAGAGCATGGACAGATTGTACACCCATTCCACAGATCTTGTGGTCCCATCATCTCTTCCACTGTTCATTTGTATCTTTTATAATAATAAAGAGGTCATTGTAACCATAGCACTTTCCTGCGTTCTATCAGTTGTTCTAGCAAATTATCCAAATTGAGGGAGGGTCATCGGAAGCCCTGAATTTGCAGAGGGCTGGGCAGACGTGGATGACGCGGGGATTCCTGAGACTTGCACTGGCATCTTGTGGGACTGAGCCCTTCACGTGTGGAGTCTGTGCTAACTCTGCCTCGTGTCAGAACTGAATGGAATTCTAGGGGTTGGTGTACTGGCTGCGAAACACAGAAATAAGCCTGTTTAAAGCCACAGAGTTTTTGGGGTGCATGGTTTCTAAGTTGTCATTACTGATCCACCTGGCAAAGGACAGTTTAGGCAACGTAGGTAGCAGGGGGTGACTGCAAGCTTTTCTGCAAAAGACTGTTTGAGAAGAGGATACCCACACATGCACACACGCACACACATGTACACAGGCATGCATGCACACAACAGAGCTCAGGAAACAGGAAGCCAGTGAGTAACCTGCTCAGTGCTGAATTCCTGGCTCCTCACCCACCAGCTCCATCCCCAAAGGCAAACACACTCCATCCTTTGTCTTAGATTTTGCAGTGTAATCCCTCTGCATTAGCCTCCAGAGCACAGAGGACAAGAAGACAAGGCACAGAAATGGTGCCCAAGACAACAACCACGCCAGTGGTTGCTCTACAGCTCTCGGGAGGCCCTGCTCTGGGCCAGGGTGGTAAGTTGCCGTCATCGGATGGCCGGGTCACCTACCTTCTGCAAGATAGTCGTGGCCAGCTCCTCAGTCAGCTCCTCCTTGTGGTCCCGCAAGTAACTGGCCTCATTCTGCTTGTCCTGCGGAGGGAGGGAAGAGAATGGCCGATTGCCGGGCAGGTTTTGGGGTACAATCACTTTCGTGGGAGTGAGAGGTTGACGCTGGTTTCCTGACAACCAGCACTTTTCTCTGGCAGCCAGGACCCCGATCCACACCGCCCGAGAGAGGAGAAGGGGGTCCATACCAGGCTGTCTCCATAGGCTTCTGCTTTGGAAATTGCCTCCTCGATGGCCTCTTCGGCCACACGTAAGGCAACGGCCAATGTGTCCATCATGCTGTGTCCTAGGAAACAGAACAGAGGTCGCTTTCTGAAAGGGAATGACAAGTAAAATGACGGCTCCACTGGAAGCTCTTCTGCTTAGCTCTTCTGCTCAGACCTCTGGGGAAGGAGCTGAAGTGTCGGAAAAGGCTTTATTTGAAACTAGAAATTTGTTTTTGCTTTTAACCTCTGCTCCGAGGGAACTATTACATTGGTATAAAAAAGTAGAAGTTAATCAGTAAGTGGTACATTCTTTATAAGAATACTTTATTTTCTTATTAAATCTTTATTGTTCAGATTATTACATTTGTTCCTCTTTTTCCCCCCATAACTCCCCTCCACCCAGTTCCCACCCCACCCTTCGCCCTCACTCCCCACCCACTGTCCTCTTTCATAGGTGCGCGATTTTTGTCCAGTCTCTTCCCGCATCCCCCACACCCCTTTCCCCCCCAAGAATAGTCAGTCCATTCCCTTTCTATGCCCCTGATTCTATTATAATCACCAGTTCATTCTGTTCATCAGATTATTTATTCACTTGATTTTATAAGAATACTTTAATATGAAGTGCCCAGGTATGTTGATTTTTATATTCCAACTCCAAACACTCACTAGTTGATCACCAAGTATCTGGCGGTTGGGTAGCAAATGCACTTCTCTAGGCCACACCTTGGATTTACTCATCTATTTTGATGACGGATCCATACAAATGGCAACCCCTGGAGACTCCCACACAGCAATACATAGTTGTATCAAGTGTTCACAACGCAACTGGGAGATCTGGACACTGAGTGGCCAGATTATTATGACCACAGTATTCTTCCATTAGCTGTAAATTCTTAAGCAAGTTTACCTTCTGATTGCCTATAAAATGTTGAATCACTGCCTGAAACACTTCCTTCATTCTCCAGGTTTGTCTCAAAAAAGCTTCCTCCTGGGGGAGGGGGAAGAAAGGAGAGAGTGAGAAATCATGATTATCAAAGGTCTTCAGAGAGCACAGATGCACCAAATTGGCAAACCACCATTACCCACTTGAAGTTAGCCCTGCTGACAGGTTAGTGAATCACTGGCTTACACAACAATGCTACACTTTTGGATCAATCACGTTTCTTCTCACATTGATGATTCCTGGTGTAGCATTGCTACCGCCCCAACTTTCTTCCAGTACCTTCTTTGGAGGCAATGTGGAATCCAAGACAGGAAAATGGATTAAATTCAGAGAAATGTGAGGTCAACTCCTGGACCTGCAAGTTATTAGTCATGTGACCTTGAGCAAGCACCCTTAGATGAACTGAAGATGGAACCATTTATTCAGAATTCTCCTGAACAAATTATAGAGAAATTGGCTGTGCCTGAGGATTACCCAGAGAGCTTTAAACAATATCTGTATGGAGTCCCCTCCAGAGATTCAGAAGTAATTGACTGGGCATTGGAAGATGATCTAGGCACTGGGTTGTTGTTTTTTTTTTAAACACCCTAGGTCCCAGTACCAATATTGCATCCTCTAGCCCATGGTCAGCAGACCGCGGCTCATGAGCCACGTGCGGCTCTTTGGCCCCTTGAGTGTGGCTCTTCCACAAAATACCACGTGCGGGCGCGCACGTACAGTGCGATTGAAACTTCGTGGCCCATGCGCAGAAGTCAGTATTTTGTGGAAAAGCCGGTATTTTGTGGAAGAGCCACACTCAAGGGGCCAAAGAGCCGCATGTGGCTCGCGAGCCGCGGTTTGCCGAGCTGCAGTTTGCCGACCACTGCCCTAGGTGATTCTAATGGGTAGTCAGGATTGAGGATGGCAGATGACAGCCATACAAGGGTGTTGGGTTGTAGCTAGAAGACAACGGTAATGACTCCCCACTCATCTCACATAACCAGGAGGGCATGTAAGCACTTGAGGTGGGGCTAAATTTTCTAGGTGGCGTCCAGAATAAATCTCATTGTTTTGTGATCATGGCTTTACAGGCTTGAGTACCATCTCATAAAGTGTCTCCCGTCAGCTTGTTTTCATGTTTATCAAGAGGAAATCGTAATTAAAATGGAGACACCAATCATATTAAAGCAACCAATTCTAATATGTCTATGAAGTGTCTTGGTACCTACGAAATGCTTTAAGACTGAACTAGCTAGTGCAATATGGAGATCATAATCTATGCCGGGCATTGAGCCTTGCTTTGAGAACAGAGACAAAGGAGCTGTTGTCTCCACGTGGCCCAGCAGGATCGAGCTTAGTCAACCATCACCGGATGCAGTGTGCTAAGTGCTGTGACTGAGCACCAGGTGAGAGAAGTGGTGAATCGCAGAGGGCCCGGGACCTACATCTGTTCCAATCATGGCAGACAGTTATTCCCAGCAAACGATCATCCTTTGAAAATGACACTGGAGGATTTCAAAGCCCTGAGCTGGCCCACTTGGGATTCGTGTCAGCCTGCTCCACCGGTGGGGCCACTGGGAGAAATGGAATGAGATCAGAATTGTGTTCTGTGCTGTGAGAGTCTCTACACAGGTTTGTTTCCTTTCCATTTGCATTAAGCCCTACAGAACGCCGATGAGATTTGAGTTTGGGGACACGTAAAGGGGTCCCTAAAGCAGACCGGAGGATGTACAAGAGAGGAAAGAAAAGACGGCATGCAAACGAGTGAGTCGATTCTATTCTGAAACTTTCTTGAGAAATATTTTTGGGTTGAAAAACTACTGTGACCACCTTTACTTTAAATTTCTCTTTTCTGCCTCCATTTCTAGAAACATATTTTTAGAAAACCCTACAAAGAGAAGATAAAAATAATAGGTGGCAACCTTGGGCACTGCTCTCTTAGCCATAGGCAGAAAGACAGATTCTAACAACTACCACAAAAGGCGCTAATGACTCCACGTTGAATGATTCCATCCTGTTTTGGAGAATACAAAACAATGATGGTGAAAAAGCTCTAAATGAGATGGAGGAGATTCGCCCTCACCTCTTTCTTGTGCATAAAAAGCATTCACCCATGTCAGCAAAGTGATAGGGGAAAAACCTCCCTCTAGACAGGAAAAAACAGCCTTTCTTTGGAAGAGGTGCTTTTTATATTCTGACAACAATTTCTTTGTACTGGCTGGTCTACTAGAACTATAGCATATACACTGAGTAGGCAGATTATTATGACCACCTGACGTTTGTAGGCAAATTAGCTATAATTTCGCGCTAAAGTTGCTAGAGGGCCAGACCATTATAAATAGGGAAGTGGGTTGTTTACCACAACAGTAGAAGTGATTTTTTTCTGAAGATAAGGGTAAACAACCTGATTTAACAGCCTTTGAACGTGGGAGATATATATACTACTTCTTCATTCTGGTTTAGCTACATTGGCTGTTTGAACGGAATAAAACAGCGTACGCAGGCGTCATCCTTCAAGCTTTCTGGAGGAAGCTGACATTTTTCTCACTCTCCCTTTCCCTCACGTTCGGGGCCTGGTATAGAGACCGTTTTGGAGTAGGAGGAAAGGGAAGAGGAGGCCATATTCTCCGAGTGCGGACCGAGTCTACACAGTCGACCCAAGATGACTTCCTGATGCTGTAATCATTAGGGAAAGATGATTAAGGATCTTTTATTTCTAAGGATCCAGAATTAGAATGTCCACAATTTGCAGCCATACTTTGGTCCTCCTAGCTCCTAATCTACCCAGCCCACTGGGGCTGCTGGAACCAAAAGACTCAGAACTTAACAGAAGCTTTGATTTATGTCCTGTTTTGGCTCCTCACTAGAAGGGGGATATTTAAGGAGCTCGTTCTGTCCAGGTGAGTGTGCCTCAGCATACGGGGCCTCCAGGCAAGGCCTTCTCCTACCCCCCCCCCCCCGCCCCCCAAGGACTCCGAGAGCAAGAGGCGGCCAGCATACCCAGGATGTCGAAGCCTGCTCCGCTCTCCAGCCGGTGCTTCCTGTACAGGTTTTTCAGGACCTTGGCGCTGCCAAAGCGCTTGAAGCGGCTCTTCACATTATTGTAGAACCATTCCAGAGACTGGGTTCGCAGGAGCCTGGGGGAAACACAGAATCGCAGGAGAGAACATCTGAATTACAAGATAAGATGGCTGAATGGTGGATGGCCAAGGTTGCCGCCTGGGGGGTTGGGGGGAGTCCATGGATTCCACAGATCAGTTGTCGAGAGTTGTGCCCTAGCGACTCCATGGGGGTGAGATGGGAGAAGAGCTTTGAAGGAGGCTGGAGTGTAAGGGCTAAAAACCAACGGAAACACCACTGCCCAAGAAAGGTCTATGGAAGAATCCATTTCTGAAGCGGCCTGGTGGTGGATGTCAGGGTACCCTCTGTTCCTTCTAGAACTTTCCCGGGTGTCACTCACAGGGCTTGGGCCCAGCAGCCATTCTGGCCTTGGCAGGACCTGCCCTGCTGTCCCCATCTGGCCCTCAAGGAGCCTTCTCCAGACTTGAGGCCACTGGCACTGGCCTCCCTGAACTTTCCCATCTCTCAGGCGGTCTCCGTGGCTCTCGGCTCCACTCTCCAGCTTGATTCATTCCTCTCTGTACGGTTCGGAGAGTTTGACGCATACACAGCCAGGCAGTTGTCAACCAGGGGATGGGGTGGGGGGAGGGGGAATGAAATGATTTCTTTTAGCCTCAGCTGTCTGGAGGCAGGAATAAAGGTTATTTGACTATGGCTTTTCTTTTGCCTCCTTATTTAAAAAGCCGATCGGGACTTCCTTCTTTTACTTGTCAGAACCAACTTGAAGTAAGAGAATTCAACAGAGTTCATTTGAAAGAGCTGCAGTTCTTGCTCCAGCTGCAGAAATTTGCACTCCAAGCTACGCCGGCCCAGAAGGGCCAGCTTGCATCTTCTGGTGCTGATTAGCATGACGGAGACGGCAAAGAACAGTCGACACTTATGGATTCTTTCCCCACCTCATCACTCAGTGTGTGGCCTGGAAGATGTCAGTTTATCTCCCTGCATCTCATCTCCCTCGTCCTCAGAATACAAATGATCACAGCTTTTTGCAACCGAATTTCCAGCACCACACGGTTGCATCCGATACTGCCTCACCTCTCAGGTCCTGACACATCAATGTGCCAGTTCTGCTCTGATAACATCTTCACGCTCGTATTAAGAAATGTGCCCAATTCCTACATTTTTGGTTTAGTCACCTGTTTCATTAGTGGTAACATCATGCTCTATACCAGTGGTTCTCAACCTTCTGGCCCTTTAAATACAGTTCCTCAACTGTGACCCAACCCTAAAATTATTTTCGTTGCTACTTCATAACTGTAATGTTGCTACTGTTATGAATCGTTATGTAAATATCAGATATGCAGGATGGTCTTAGGCGACCCCTGTGAAAGGGTCATTCGACTGCCAAAGGGGTCGCGACCCACAGGTTGAGAACCGCTGCTCTATACTATAGAATCTATAGCAGTGATGGCGAACCTTTTGAGCTCGGCGTGTCAGCATTTTGAAAAACCCTAACTTAACTCTGGTGCCGTGTCACATATAGAAATTTTTTGATCTTTGAAACCATAGTAAAACAAAGACTTATATTTTTGATATTTATTTTATATATTTAAATGCCATTTAACAAAGAAAAATCAACCAAAAAAATGAGTTCGTGTGTCACCTCTGACACGTATGTCATAGGTTCGCCATCACCGGTCTATAGTGAGGTGTTTCCCCTTCCAATTAAGGCCCAAACTGGTTGTTGGAGTCTCTATGGCTCCCAAGCAGTGTTAACGTCCTCACTCCCATCCCCTCCTCAAACAATCCCATGTATATTCCACCAGCACTGCCCTCCAAGGTCCCAAACCTTCCTGTGAAGTCAAGGGGCCACGCCATCGATCTTCGCTCAGGTGCTATTTCAGCCCATAATGGATGTGTTCGCCCCCTGCACTGTTTCCAAAATGCTGTTTCTCCTGTGGCTCCCATGATACTCTGACTTTCAGAATGCTTGCTTCCCTTCTCAATCCCCGCCCTTTGTAATGACTTGTATGTGTTGGGAATTTGGAGGAACAACAGAATAAAACCTTTTCATATTAAGGAATAAAGAGATAAACCAAGCCATTTAGAAGTATGAAGATAAATACCAAAACAAAGCTAAAGTTGAAAATGATTGCATTTAGCAAGCACGACTAGGGTGGAGGTGGGGGGAAAGGGACTACTGTGGTTTTATTTGTTGTTGTTGTTTTTTGTACCATAAATCAAGAGAACTAGCTGATATTTTATGTAGGTACATCTATGACTTTGATGACCATAACATTAAATACAGATCCAAGGATTTAGCTCTTGGCTTAAGGACCCTGAGAAGTCCCTGAATGTCCCTTCTGGGCGGTAGACACTTAGCATTCTGCAGGAGCTCTGTGAAAATCCAGGCTGAAACAATGAAATCCCCGAGAACACACATGTCCCCTCCGTTGCTGCCCATAAAGCCCGAGTGTAGAATGAGCCTGGAATAGGTCAGCACCCTCCCATTCAGACCGGACTCTCCTACTCCTGGCTGCAATACAGCAGGCGTCCAGCCGCAGACTCAGACGTCTGCAGGGAAGACAGCCACACCTGCAGCACTCGCCCCATCAGGGTTGTTTTAGCAGCAGCAGAATACATTCCTCCTGTGTTTGCCATGTAGTCAATCAAGAGAGGAGAAATACAGTTTTCTATCTTTTAAATAAAACCAGTAGTACAAAATGTCCCTTTAAAGTCATCGCTTAAATGTTTGCACAGATACTCATATGCAAAACGCTGAAAACGTATGCACCAAATAGGACCAAAACGACCCAGTCCTGTAGAAAACATCAATGACAACAACCAGGCAGCCTACAGGAAAGGATTATAGTACATAATCAATAAGAGGAAGCTATGAAATAAAGGGCAAGTCAATATGGTTTAATTACGAAAATTACCGGAAGCAGTGGGTTTCTCTCTGTCAAGTTCTTCTACCCAGATCTAGTTCAGGTGTCTTGAGATTGAATTAAATGCCAGGTCACAGATAATGGGGGTCCCCAAATCTTCACTCCATGTCCTCCTGGCCAGAAATACCCAAAGACAGAGCATGAACCAAGAATCCTTCTGAGGAAGACACAGGGCTCCCGGCAGAGAGCTACCCCCGAGCGAAGGCGCAGCACACTGCCACCATCTGTTTCTATTACCGGCTTCAGAAGGGAGGTGACGGGGAGCTGTGAAACCGCAGACAACCAAGCTGAGAAAAACCCATCAACGCGTGCGAGGCGGGAGGGAGAGGGACCAAAACTCATTTAAAGCTGCCCAATTGAATAGAACTTTGTGGGGGAAATGTCATGTGAATTTTTGCTTGTATCTATTTTTTAAAAAAATATTTTTTTATTGATTTCAGAGAGGAAGGGAGAGGGACAGAGAGATAAAAATATCAATGATGAGAGAGAGAGAATCATTGATCGGCTGCCTCCTGCACGCCCTACACTGGGGATCGAGCCTGCAACCTGGGCATGTGCCCTGACTGGGAAATGAACCGTGACCTCCTGGTTCAAAGGTTGATGCTTTCTTTTTTAATATATATTTTATTGATTTTTTACAGAGAGGAAGGGAGAGAGATAGAGAGTTAGAAACATCGATGAGAGAGAAACATTGATGAGCTGCCTCCTGCACACTCCCCACTGGGGATGTGCCCGCAACCAAGGTACATGCCCTTGACCAGAATCGAACCTGGGACCCTTGAGACCGCAGGCCAACGCTCTATCCACTGAGCCAAACCGGTCAGGGCGGTTGATGCTTTTTTAATTTTTACTTTCTTGCTTTGCAGATTCAAGATCCTGTGATATAGAAACACCCAGGACGTGGTTTCATCACGTACTTTCTCATCAGTCAGACCATGGGGTCTGCTTTGCTAAACGTTCTCAACATAGACATGCCTGCCATGGCAGCAAGAGCCAGAGCGGGGGGGGGGGGGGGGGAGAAAGAGGGGAAAAAAAACCCCGGGGGTCTCTCTGGGCAGGGCGAGCGGGCACGCTTCCCTGGGAGCACAGGAGGGTGTGCACACGTTTTGCCCCGTTCATACTGACTCTGGTGTGTGCAAATGTAGCTACAGCGTGAGGTATGGAGGGGACCACTCACTGGCTGTGACCACAGGCAGTTTATTTTGCTTTTCGGAGCTTCAGCAGCCTCATTTGTACGATAGGCATCATTCCCACCGCCACCTTGTTGAAAGGATCAAACAGACCATCATGCGTGTGGCGCCTTATAATACTGAGTATGTTTTAGACTGCAAATATTAGTACCACCTCCTCTGCAGAGCAGTTAGCAATAAGCGCAGGTAACGTGTTGCTTTGACCACACAAATGATGGAGATTATCACAGAATATTTCTTTGTGACCCCAGGCACTTGCTTTAAATGTGCCCCCGCAACGTCCCTCCTGTTCTGCTGCGAGACTCCCTCCCTTGTATGTAGGGAGGAAGAATTCAGGAGGCCACCAGCGCAGAAGGTTCTACAGCAGTGGTTCTCAACCTTCCTGATGCTGCAACCCCTTAATACAGTTCCTCATGTTGTGGTGACCCCCAATTTCATTGTTACAAATTGAACATAACTAAAGCATAGTGATTAATCACAAAAACAATATGTAATTATATATGTGTTTTCCGATGGTCTTAGGCGACCCCTGTGAAAGGGGTCGTTCGACCCCCAAAGGGGTCGTGACCCACAGGTTGAGAACCGCTGTTCTACAGGAACAGCTGCCTAACTGCCCAGTGCCATCCCCAGAGCCAGGTGGGCCAGTCTGCTCTCTGGCCAAGACCTGGGTTGATTTTTCAGGTAAGATTCATCCTGGGGCTAATAAAACAGAAGGTCTTGATT